TCCCTTTAACTACACTTAAATTTGTTGATGTATGATCAAAACATCTTCGGATCTTCTTCGGTCGTCTTCGACAAGCTTCGGGAAATGTTCGGAAGTGTTCGTCTGGCCTTCGGAACAATTTTGGAAAATCTTCGGAAAGTGGTCGGAAATGTTCGGAAATCGTCAAAAACGTCGTCATTAGTATGTTAACAAAATAAACAGAATATTACTTGCCCGCTTGTGGATACGAATTTTATCTTCTAGTGTCCAACTAAATATCTCACGAGTGAGCGCAGCGAACGAGTGTGATATCGAGTTGAACACTCGAAGATAAAATTCGTATCCACGCGCGGGCATGTAATATCCTCTATATATCCAACAAGCGCGAGTGGGATAACTGTTTTATTAAAAACGCCCCCAAAAGATAGACAACCAAAATAAAATAAAAATAAAACGCCCCCCAATAATTACGCGAACGCTTGCCATATTAATTTTGTAGAACATGGTATAATGGCTCATAACCCATGATGGCTAAGCCAATGAAAACTCTTAAATTGCATTATCCAGTGATTCAGTTTTCAGTGAAATTAAATATTGCCTAGTGTGTCACGATCAGTTTCTTGAGAAAGACATGTCAAGTTTGCTTACATGACTGTTATTCAAACGGAACTAAAGCGAATGAGCCGGCTGCTGACAAATTAGTCAGCGGTCACTCGATTGCATCAGTTTCTTGCACATGGTGGATTTCTGAAATAACTGTATATCTTCTCTGTTTCTATCGTCGTCAAAATGCCAATCGGCTGTAGATTTTACAAACACAAGTACCCAGAAATTGACGATGTCGTTATGGTGAACGTGCGAAGCATCGCCGAGATGGGGGCTTACGTGAATTTGTTGGAATACAACAACATCGAGGGAATGATACTTCTGAGCGAATTGTCAAGAAGACGTATTCGTTCAATCAACAAACTGATCAGGGTTGGAAGGAACGAATGTGTGGTGGTAATTCGTGTAGATAAAGACAAAGGTTTGTGGATGTTTTTGCTAAAAACCATGATTCATAAATTATGCTGCCGCCATTTTGATTCGTTGGGGCATGCGTATTGCTAAGCGTACACGTAAAGAATCGATAACATCATAAACTTATTACACGGTTGATACGGCTAAGATGCAGTTGCTACTTAGTTTATATGAACTTAGCACGGGTGAAAGGGGTCAAAGGGACCAGTTTTTTCTGAGCCATAGCAAAAAACCAGTGAACATTATTGGCCTTTGAAATTACTACAAAAGCCACTTCATTTTAGCGGTATGTAGAACCCCTGTGTTAATTGGAGACAATAAATAGACTAAATAAATAAATAAATGGGACAAAATTTAAACTTGTATAAAAATTCCAGATGGTCAGGGACTGACTGGTTGGGTCTCCACATGTATTTACAAAGCATGGTGGAGCTCTCAAGACAATCCATCCAGTTGCAGCAAGGAGGATTTGAACATTTGAGGATTTAATTTTTTACTTGCAGTACAGTACCCTTACCACAAGATTATGCTGTATCCACTCTGTTTATTTAAGTTTAATCAAAACATGGTTGGAGGTCTTTTCAGCCATAACAGCTGATTTAGGGTGCATTCCTTTGGGATGATTTGGATCAGGA